GGTTATTCTGCCACTCGAAAAAAGAAAAAACACACCCTTTCATCTTAATCTTAATCCAGAAAAAAGTCTTGGCTTGCACCATATCCACCACTCTTTCCCTACAACTCTCCATCTTCTTGAATACTCTAATATTCCTACAGTACCAGATATACCAAGTAACAGCAAGAAAAACACAAGCACCAATTTCCTTCCCTACTATTCTACCCAAACCATGCAGAAAGAACTCAGCAACACCATCCACTGTATTTGGAAACACAGCCGCCATACCCCACCATTGCAGCACATTCCCCCAAACCAACCAAGCCTCTTTACATGTACAAAAAAGATGATTAACCTCCTCTAACACCCCATCACACAAGCCACACATTAAACTCTCCTCCTCCAAAACCACCCCTCTTTTTTGTAGATTCACCTTTGTTGGGAGTCTATCAAGACATAATCTCCAACCAAAAAAACCAACTTTGAAAGGAACTAGTCTACACCAGACCATCTTACAAAACTGGTCCTCAAGAGTACACTTTACAGGCGCCAAAGCCTCATAAGCTGTTTTCACCACATACTGTCCATCTAGTCCATGTATCCACCACCAGTGGTCCTCCTTGCCTTTCTTCAACTGGACACGCCCCAACAACTCCCATAAGCCCTCTTCTTCATCCCTCACTCTACCCTTCCTTTCCCGTCTCCACTCCATGTTCCACCGCCACCTATCCTCCTCCCAATCACCCATCTCACTAACTAGACCCTCCTTCTTAACAGCCAACTCATATAATCGGGGACATAAATCCCTCAACGATTTATCCCCAACCCATATCTCTCTCCAAAACCCCACTCATTTACCATCTCCTACCTCCCATCTAAAACCATTTACCAACAAATTCCTTAAACCCACAGACAACCCTCCTAATTTAACAACATCACTCCAAATCTTAGACACTCGTCCACTTTCTACTCCAGTAATATCTACCTCCTTCCTACCTCCATAATATTTCTCCCTAACCACCTGTTGCCATAAATTCTCCACTCCATCACCCAATCTAGCCCACCATTTCCCAAGCAAAGCCCAATTCCGCCTACGTAGATTTGGCACTCCTAAACCCCCATTCAGCTTACTACAACAAACTAGCTCCCAATTAACCCATGGTATCTTCCTCTTCAGTTCTACCCCACCCCACAAAAAACCCCTCTGGATGCTAATCAATTCAGAAACCACACAACTTGGCATCAAAAAAAGAGACATATAAAAAGTAGGTAAAGAAGAAAGTACCGAGTTGAGCAGAGTAATGCGGCCTCCAACGGACAACATAGCGGATTTCCAGACAGCAAGCTTGGCACGAAACTTGTTAACAACCGGAACCCAGAAATCCTTGCACCCTGGTTTACCTCCAACTGGCATTCCCAAGTAAGTGAAAGGTGTTTTCCCGACTCCACATTGCAAAACTCTTGATGCCCCTTTCAACCACCTCTCCGACACATTAAATCCACATACACTACTTTTACTAAAATTAATCTTCAGTACAGACATTAACTCAAACCACCTCAAAATAGATTTCACCATAAAAATGTTCAAACTATCAGCTCTTCCCATAATGACTGTATCATCAACAAATTGGAGTAAAGACACCTCCAACCCCCTTGAACCAATTGGTATCCCATGAAACATGCCTACAGTTTCTGCCTTATTAACCAAACCATGTAACCCTTCCCCAATCATCAAGAAGAGGAACGGAGATAGCGGATCCCCTTGTCGTAATCCTTTACCCATCTTAAACTCCTCCGTTGGGCTCCCATTCACCAGAACCGATACCCTTGCTGTCGAGAGACATTCTTTTATCCATCCTCTCCATTTAGTGCCAAACCCAAAACGACTCATCATCCAGTCTAAAAACTCCCAATCTACACAATCATAAGCTTTTTCAAAATCTGCTTTGAACACAAAAGCTTGCCTCTTCATCTTCTTCACCTCATCCACTACTTCATTTAAGACTAAGACGCTATCAACCAATTGTCGACCCCCCAGGAATGCGGATTGAGTATCACTTATTATCTCCGGCATAACCATCTTTAGTCTATGAGATAGTACCTTAGCCAACAACTTATACACACACCCAATCAAACTTATTGGTCTATAGTCCTTCAATTCTGTTGGACTCAACTTCTTTGGAATGAGCGTTAAAAAAGAAGAGTTTAGACCGCCCACTAACCTGCCATTCTGATGGAATTCCTTAAAGAAGCTCACAAAGTCCTCCTTTATGCTATGCCATACGCATTTGAGAAAGTTAAAGTTGTACCCATCTGGCCCTGGAGCTTTAGTTCCTTCACAGCTCCTCAACCCTTCCTCAATCTCCTCCTCTGAGAACGGTCTTTCGAGCCACTCATTCCTTTCCTGAGAAATCTGCTTAAAGTTTATACCCGCAGGCTTGGGCCTATTCCATTCTTCTCCTTGAAACTGCTTTCGGAAGTATGTTGCTGCTTCTTGTTTTACCAAATCTGGCTCCTCCACCCATCTACCATCACACATCAGCCCTGAAATGCCATTTTGAGCCCTTCTACCATTTACCACTCTATGGAAAAATCTTGTATTTGCATCACCCAGC